CCTCACATGCAGAAATGCGTGTTTATTGGCTACCCTGATGGCTACAAGGGCTGGAAGTTCTACTGCCCTGACACCAGGAAGGTGGTGATCTCAGAACGTGCCGAGTTTGATGAGCGGCTCTTCCCTGGCCTGAGGCGCACTCCTGCCTCGCTTTCCACTCCCATTGTCGACCCTCCGACCTCTGAGCCTGTCCCTGTCTTTGTACCTGCACTGGATCAAGGGGGGGACGACGACTTTGTGCCTGCTGCCATTCCTCAGGCCCCTATTGTGCCACTTCCTGCAGCAGCACCTCCTCCAGTTGCTCCAGTGCCTGTCCAAGCTCCTGCGCTCCCTGCACCAGTTGCACCTCCTGCGCCTCTAGCTGTTCAGCCACCTCCTGCGCCACAAGCTGCGCACCAACCCCCTCCTGAAGCGGACGACCTCAATCTGCCTATTGCCATTCGCAGGGGAAGACGACATGCACCAGTCCCTGCAAAGCACGAAGACTCTCCTGACCCCCTCGACCTGTTTGCTGAGGAGGCAGATTTTATCGAAGTGCAGTTTGCTGGGCTTGCAGCAGGTGCTGACCCTCACAATTTTTGCAAGGCCATGTGCTCCCCTGATGCCAAACTGTGGCAGACAGCCTGCAATGATGAGATACTCTCTCTAATTGCGAACCACACCTGGGATGCAATCCCTCTGCCTGCTGGAAAGAAGGCCATTGGATGTGGCTGGGTGTTCAAGGTGAAGCACAATGCAAACGGCTCAATTGAGCGGTACAAGGCTCGACTTGTGGCCAAGGGCTACTCACAGCGGCCTGGCTTCGACTACACCGAGGTTTTTGCACCCACATCTCGCCCTGCTGCCCTGCGCCTTGTCCTTGCCCTCACTGCTATTGAGGATCTGGAGCTGCACTCTGTCGACATCTCCTCTGCCTTCCTACAGGGCGACTTGGACGAGGAGATCTACATGCAGCAACCTGAAGGCTTTGCCCAAGGTCCCCCTGGCACAGTCCTACGTCTAGGCCGTCCTATCTATGGCCTCAAGCAGGCTGGTCGCATGTGGAACAAGAAGCTGCACCAGGTGCTCTCCTCCATGGGCTTCAAGCGGCTCGAGTCTGACCACAGTGTGTACATCTATCTGCGAGATGAAGTGCGCATTATCATCCCTGTGCATGTGGACGACCTCACTCTGGCCTCCACCTCACGCGCTGCCATTGACAAGACAGTCGAGGAGCTCTCTCAGCACTTCAAACTGCGCAACCTTGGCCCCACCACATTCCTGCTGGGCATTGAGATCACCAGAGACCGCAAAAAGCGCACCATGTTCCTGTCACAGCGGCAGTACATCCTGGACATGCTGGAGCAATATGGCCTCACCAGCTGCAAAGCAGTGTTGACTCCAATGGAGCCTGGCCTTCGCCTTTCCAAGCAGCAAGCCTGTCAGAGCGATGAGGACCGCGCCTTCATGCAGGACAAGCCCTACCTCAATGCAGTCGGCTCCCTCATGTATCTGGCCATCACCACTCGCCCTGACATCCAGTATGCTGTCTCCTGCCTTGCTCGCTTCAACTCCTGTCCTGGACCTGCCCATTGGGCCGCAGTCAAGCACCTCTTCCGCTATCTGCAGGGCACCAAGGACCACAAGCTCGTCTACAGACCTGACGACCTGGGTGCACCCTTTGTGACCTTCACAGACTCTGCTCATGGTGACTGTCCAGACTCTGGACGCTCCACCAGTGGCTACCTGGTCAAAGTTGGCTCAGGAGCGATCAGCTGGTCCAGCAAACTCCAGTCCATTGTCGCACTTTCGACTACAAAGGCTGAGTATGTTGCTGCAGTGGATGCGCAATCTCATGGCCGAGTTTGGCTACACAGTGGATGCTCCCTCGCCCCTGCAAATGGACAACCAGTCGAGCATTAATGTGTCCAAGAATCCTGAGCATCATGGGCGCATGAAGCACCTCGACCTGCG